ACCCCCCCACCCCACCCTCATACATTTTTGAGCCACCTGTATATGAAAGTGGTATTATTGGAAGTATTTTGCGTCTTTCTATTATGTTATTTGATGGTTTTCTTCTGGATTTCCATCCTCTTTGATCCCTCTGAGCAGCGTAGTCCTGGGTAGTTCTTAGACATGTCTTGTCTTTTTTGGAGGGGATTTTTCTGTAGAATGAAAGAGACGCCCTTTTTGTTGTTGTTTGGGAGGGGGGGGGGGGCGGTTTGTAAATTATTTAATCTAATCATCGTGATTATTTAAAAAAAGCAAAAGCAAGTTGAAACTCGTGTGATCTCAAAGACAGTGAAGATATAAAAGAAATTTCACACTTTGTATATATCAAAATTAGTGATCTAAATAAACACACCGTCATCCACTAACCGCTGGACTGAAAACAGCTCTGTCTTGCGGCACACGCAGTCAGTTCAAAAGAAGAAAAAAGGTTAAACAAACAAAGAAACTAACACTCAATTACCGTTCTTGTTTTAACCAAAGAGCCCTGCCAAGACTGTTATTAAATACTAATGGTTATAAAGAAAACACCTCTCTATATTTGTCGCATATGCATGAAAGTCGAGATTTTTTAGGTCTTTTTGGAAATCAGAGGCACATGCAAAAAATCAGCTCAATTCGCCTCTTAGATTCTGTGTAATGAGGTCGACAAGTTGTCCATTTGGTGTTGCCCAGACTATAACAGCTTCAGGCAGACCTATGCCGTCGACCTGACTTTACAGTGGATACCTGACCACAGCAACATCCCAGGAAACGACAGAGCAGACAACCTTGGCGAGAAGGGAGCATCACAAACACAACCTCAACCCAGTATCACAACAGACAGTCAAAAACATCATATGCAGCACCAGGGAACAGTGGCTGAATAGATGGGCAATGGGCAAAACTGGAAGAGCTGTATTTGCTCACATGACTGCTGCCAGCACAAAAAATCCTGAGTAGAAGAGAACAAGTCACTGTCTTTCTATCTTTCGCCTGCGAACACAACACTTCCCACTGAATTCCTACCTGAATAGGATCCGCAAGGATACCCCTCCTGACTGCCCGCTGTGTGACTGCCAGAATGAAACAGTATCACACCACCTCTTTACCTGCCCTGTTCTTAGCGACCTGTGTAGCACCTACCTACCTGCCTCCCCAGATATCAGAAATACTCTATAGAGCGACAAACCACAGTTGATAAAAACCTGTAATTTCTTTGCTATATCGACAGGCCGAAGGACTAGAACTCAGATGGTCGCTGGATCGAAAAGGAAAAAGTAAAGTTCCATGCACGAGGACACAAGTGGTTTTTGTTTTTCAGCTCCTGCCTCTCAATAAACAAGAAATAAAAAAATTGAACAACATAACATGAAATAAGGAAGAAATAAAAAATCTCCCTGGTCACAAGGGGGTTAACTTGTGTGTCCAAATCATAGCACTGTTTTGGAACTGGGAGTTTTTGACAAAATGTGTGGCATCGCAGTAAAATCAGATGCTCGTCAAAATAATCAAATTTAAGAAACTGGTATTTTTGTGCATGTTGGACAATTTTTATCGATTAAAAAATTGTTTTTTTGACTCAAGACTTTTTATGTATGTTTGAAAAACATTTCTCTATTGATTGTTTTGAAAAACAGTGATCAAAGGTACAAAAAAAAATAAAAGCGCAGTTTCCAAGAACCCTCAAGCTTGGGAAGTCAACAGACTTTCGTAGCCATTTTCTCGTTAATTTTACCTCTGACACCACCTCCTTCAATCGCAAATATCTCGACGTGAGTTCAAGATAGACTGGTATTTTTTTTTTTACAAATCAAAAGCATGGCAAATGAACAAGCTTTAAAATAATTCTAATAACTCCATATTCCCCAATATTGACCAGTGCCTGATTCCTCTTCGTCGCGAATCAAATGTTCTTCACTTGGAAAATCTTCAAAAACTTATCATGTGTAGTATTGCTATAAACACTCTTTATAACTGCGTTTGACTTTATTTCCAAGTTAGAATGAACTGTAAATCAGCATGATTTTTTTCCCAATGTGATTTCACAGTTTCTGGGACACGTGATTTGACATAAAGACTTGAACGTCCAGCTCTCACTGGCAAAAGTGAAGGCAGGGGCAGACCCAGAGCAATGTACTAGAAGAGCCTAAACAGATTGGTGACGGGGAATGATCAGGATAATGTAGCTTTTTTTGAGAGCATCCGAGCAAAGGAATGAGTGGCAACCCATGATCGCTTAACTTTTAGACCCTGCTTGCAAAGACCCAGAAAGATTAAACAGAGCGATTTGTTTTTATCCCGTTTTAAACGCGGTCAGACGAAAGTGCACGAACGAATACAATATAGATTGAAAAATGCATATAGTTTGCTGCCAAGCATGGATCTGCGTTGTACAAATGCGATTTATTGTTATTATCATGTCTACAGAGACGGGCTTCGGCGGCCGTGGACTTTTTCCGTGGCTGGGAGGATTATAAAAATGGATTTGGCGACCTTGAAGGCAACTTCTGGTTTGGCTTAGAAAAGGTTCACCAGCTGACAAATCAGGTAAGTGTTTTCTGCTTGATACTACGCACTGTCCAAACATGTGGCCGCACTGTGCGCTGCTGTTGTTGTTGTTGTTGTTGTCGATGTTCTCATTGTTGTTGTTGTTGTTGCCGTTGTTGTTGATGTTGTCGATGTTCTCGTTGTTGTTGTTGTAATCGTCTGAAGGCTCTCCACCCACTGTCAGGTTGTATCAGAGATGGGCGTTAGGTCGGGGCTCCTGCCTCTTAATTAACCTTCCCGGTGTGTCGATATTTACTAGCAACTGGTACATCGGGACCCTAAAACCTTTTCTATAGTAACATACGTCTTGACCAGGCGTGGCCCTTCCATAGAGCACGGGCGTGCACTGCTGCCCAAAATGTTTTCATGTTCTTTTGTGTAAAGCAACCACAAATGGAAAATAAAAGAAGTCAGCCACAAGCACTAGCCAAATCTTTTATCAATACAAGGTCCTCGTTGGAGTCTTAACAGCCATTTATATCCCTAAAGCGCTGTAACATCATCTTCTATGCCATGCCAAAGTCTGTGTGCTTTAACTCTTTATCTCTGAGGGTTGCAGACCCACTATGCCGGGGCCCTATTTTGGTTCAGAATCTAGAATTAACATTTACATCACTAACTTTGTCTTTCAATCAAAACAAGTGAACCTATTTCGATAGTTCTTCTTCTAATGAACACAATTCCCGTAAAAGAGACTTGTTTTCCGCAATTGCCAAAAAATAATTTGATGTCGAAGTCATTGTAAAAGAATGTGCCCGAGCTGCGCGGCTCGCCGGCACAGGATTCCGACCACGAGCTGGTGGGAGCGGCTTGTCGGAGATAAGGAGTTAACTTAACATAATAGGATGTTCAGCAGTGGTAATTTGACCCATAAATTGCTCTTTGGGCTAACACATGCGATGACGACACTTGTAGCGAGTTTGACAGTAAATAAATATTGATAAGACGGCTCATCTCAAATGTGCGCTTGCCGAAACATAGCCCACAGTTGGCAGTCTGAAAATAAAGGCAATCTCAGACTGTACACAATTCTATGCCCATAATATGTGAGCCCCGGTGCTGTCCAGTGGAGTGTTCAAGTGAACTGTGATTGGTTCATTGTCTTGCCATTATTTTAAGTTTTGCCCCAGCCCTGTGACCGTGAACTTGAGCAAAGTGAACGTGGCATAGTTAGTCAGGTCACCGTCTGTTGAGTTGTGCCTTTGAATGGTATGTAGTGAAGTGGTGAAAGTCTTAATACTTGAGTGTTCAGTTCCAATGCAGGATGAACGAAGTCGATTTTTAGCTAACAAATAGATTTAGTTCTACAAACCAAATCGACATACGTGAGGCATCGTGGTGAAATCAGGCGCTCATCAAAATAATTCAATCAAAGAAACTGGCATTCTTTTGGCTGATGAGCAATTTTTTTCTAATTTTCTTGTTTTGGCTCAACACCTTTTATGTCCATTAAAAAACTCAATTCTGTGTGGATTTTACTGATAAACATTGATTTAAGGCACAAAAATGTAAATTTTCAGTTTTCAACGACTCTCAAGCTTTGGAAGTCACCAAACTTTGGTGGTCATTTTCATGCTAATGTTACTGCTGAAACCCGGCGACCCCCATTCCTTCAATCGAAAATGTCTGGACGTTAATTCTACTTAAATGGGTATTTTTTCATTAAAAGATAAGTAAATGAGCAAGCTTTAAGAGGATACCAATAACTCCTCGTGCCCAAAAATTGACGAGCGCCTGATCCACCACGTCGTGACACAAATGATAAAGAATGAAGGTAAAATCATTTGGTCCTCACTAACTCAAAGACATTAAGATATTACACCGGGCCATTTACTATGCCCTTGACTATCTTCAACTTGTGATAGCTTAATTGTGCACGTCCACTTTTTAGCCCCTTGAGCCACCCCTGGTCCTGACCCATTTATTGGTCACACTCGTTTTAGAGGGGGAAAAAACTTTCCTGTTGGTCAATATGAGTTTTTAAATGTGAGATGTAAGATAATAAGTACCACACTCACCGCAACTGTTGTAAATAAACGTATCTCAGATGGATATTATGGGCAGATAAATGTACAGAAACAGGCGCATGGACTGTTGGACAAACGTATATGGAGAAACAAATCTGTACAGACATAAATGGACGGACAGACAGATGGGTGGACAGACAAAGAAAGTTTCGTGCTGTTCTAGGGCTCTACTTGTGAGTAGTAGTCAGTTGTGAAGTCTTCTCCTTCTCCTCCATCACACCACTTTGGAAGTCCACTATCTCTCCTATTCTGGGCCGTCCTGCTCAGTTCCTCTGTCGGCCCGTACAGCTTCTGTTGTAGCGTCAAAGGGGTTGGCCACGTTTCCTGTCTCAGGGCTCTGTGTGCTCTACACTGTTGAAGGATGTGTTCCACAGTTCAGTCGTGACGTGTTGATGGTGTTTTCGTCATTATGTTTCTCCCTTTTTCCAAGAAATGGCTGAGCAAACCAGAGCACCACGGAGGCTGCATATATGACAACCTTGTAGCTGCATTGACACCTCTATGCCTTGCCCACACAAGATACACACTGTTATTTACTACAATGGTTAGAAATTGCCTGAATAACAAACCTCGTCTATACTTTTGTGGCTTTGATGGTATATACTGTGTGAACTGGCACCGTTCTTGGAATTTATTCAGCTGATCATCAACACTGAGAGAGGGACTAGGTCATACTATGTCACAAACTTGTCACTAAATGTTGTTGAAATCTCTGAACACAGTCAATTTGTCATTCGCCATTAAAGCGCACCTTGTCATTTAGTGGTCAGAACATTCTCAAAGCGCTCAATGGGTGAAAAAACCGTGCCCTTGATATGATATGGTCGCTTTAAGGACAAGCGGGCTAACCCAGATGTCGTGGTTTTCCAGAAATATTGACCTACACCGAAAGTGGGCATTGCCCTACCTATAAGATCAGTTTGGTTTCATTGGTGTGTATATTTGTTTGGTTACAGAGAAAAATCTCCTTGTCTTTTAAAGAAACTGAAAAAGGGGCAAAACTTTTACCTTGATTTTTTCAAAACAGCATTTTTGGGGATAGCCCCCTTGTGCTTAAAAGCGACCATATAATATATTATGTACATTGTTGCACTCCCAGCAGTCTTGGCTTGCCAGAGAAGCGAGCAAACCTCGCTGGTTGACTCTACTCTCTGTTTCTTAACCAGGATACCAGTCAGTCCATCTGACTCAACAATATTCCTGCTTGTCCACGAAACTGCCCTGTGTCTCTTTTTTTGGTGCATTATATCTGGACTTACAAGCAGTAAAAGCACATCTCTACTGGTGTATCTTTTTGGTTGGCCCTTGAAGAACATTAGCTGTCCCTGTTGTGGACCTTTAGATTGGCATACTTGGTCACTCTTTACCATCTCTTGCTTTCAGAACCAGTAGATCTCTTGTATGGAGGCTCTCATGGCCTAGAGGTTAAGGTGTTGGCCTCTCATTCAAAGGTCCCGGGTTCGAATCCGGATAGCGACCGAAAAAATTTCTTCTCTAAAATTGTCTCCTTTCACCTGCTTTCCTGCTCTCTAGCAATATTCTTTCGTCTGCTTTCGTCTCCTCTTTCTGCCCCACCCCCTCACCTCCTTTGCCCCCTCCTCTGGGCTCCTGACTCTTTCTACAGCCTTTCTACTGCTACTCCTTGACTCCTTTTTACAGCTGTCTTTCTGCCACACCCCTGATCTTCTGGTAGGAAAGATCTACACCTAGCCTTCTCGGACAAGGGCCAAAAATCTCGGAGGGCCCGTGTGCAAGTTGCGCATGTTAAAGATCCTTTGGTGGTCTAAAATCGATAACAGTAGGCTTCGGCGGCCACCCGGGCAATATTCAAATTTCCTACCAACTAAAAGTATCAGGTGTGTCCCGCGCGCTCATATGACCTATGCAGTTGCGAGCGCCGTAAAACACTTACCAAAACCAAAAAAAAGAAAAAAAGATCTCTTGTACCCCCCCCCCCCCACCCCCAGGGCAGTGTACTACTGACTGAAGTGTCTTTAGGCCATTCCCAAAGGAGGGGATATTAACATGTTCTTATGCACAGTAGAATTGTAAATGTGCTGATTTATCAATGTCATGCTCGTACTGTGCCGGAACAACATAGGGGGGGCTGCTGCTTTTTCTTTCCTCATCCTTTTATTGTCATTTTCCTCTATTTCTTTTATATGTTTGTCACTCTCTTGTGAACTGCTATTTCCAGGGTGCCTTGATAGTCGAAGCAGACTTTGTGCTGTTGAGGCCAGAGAGGTGAGCAGAGTAAGCCTGATTCCCCGTTTGGACTTCTCTGCATCCACCCCTTGGCGCTCATATTCATATGACCTTATGGAGTTGCGAACGTAAACCTTACTAAAACATCTCTTTTGCCCCTTTGTTTGCACTAGGTAAACAGAACAGAGTGTTAGCTGTGTACGAAAATTACAAGATTCTCATCATCAAGTGCCAGATTTTATATTTCCCCACCACCCACTGTTCAAATTCTCCGAATAAGTTGCCTTTGGTCTTCCCCTTCCTCTTTTGCCTTCTATTTTCTCAGTGAGAGTGAGAGCGAGATGTTCTTAGTCTTTTGGTGGAATCAAGTGTCCCAGAAACCGCATTTGTCTCGTCTTATTTGTTCATATAACTGCATCGACCACGTGAGCTTCTTTCAGCTTTGCCTCATTTGATTTCTTTTCCTTCCATGAAATTCTCAAGACTCCTAAGAAATCACATTTCTGTTGCCTTTAATTACTGTTTTCACTGTCTCATTACAAGGTACTGATTATTGTTATTGCTTCATGTTTCAAAATATATATATGACTCAAAAATAGCATACAGTATTTTTTAAATATCTATGTAATAGTCTGGTCTATTTTTGGATCATGACATGCAATCAAAGATTCTCAATTAGTAGTAGAGAAACGTTGCTACAATCAGGGGTAGTAGTGTATGAAGCCATATCCGCTAACGTAACTATAGCCACCAGGTATCGAATACATGAAAGCATGTCGAATACGATGAAGGAAGATTACATTGGCGGCTTTCGCCGTTGGCTGGCCACATTGCTGAGTAACAGAATTGTTCAAGATGACTGTTCCCTTTTTGGGTCACGACGGGCTGGGGAGGGGCAACAGTTGTTGTTGCTGTTGTTGTTGTTGTTGTTGTTGTTGTTGTTGTTGTTGTTGTTGTTGTTGTTGTTACTGTAGATGATGATGATTGTTGTTACTGTAGATGATGATGATTGTTGTTATTGATGTGGTGGTGGTAATGATGGTGTTGGTGATTGTTGTTGTGGATGTTGTTGATGATAATGATATTGTTGGAAGGAAGGGTGGGTGAGGGGGGGGGGAGGGGCATTCAGCGTTGCCACCTTTTATAGTGCTGTCAACAATTCGTGGTTCGACTTATTTTCAAATATCTCAACTATCGAACATAGATTCTCCAATTTTTGCACAGTGACTTGTATCAATTTGTCTTAACAGATCAACATTTTTGTAAACACCTGCAAGCTGTATTCTAGAAAATTCCTTAATATATACTAATAAAAAATCCAAGTGGGTGGTTTCTACAGATTTGTAAATGTTTACAGCTGGGGCAATACAGCTTTTAATAGCAAGTCCGTCAGGTTTTTCTAATCGGGACATTGTGCTTATTGAACGCATGTTTTGAAAGCCATTAGTGCAAAAAGTGTGTTCACTATAACTAAAATTTCTTATAACAAGTTTTGTAAGTAAAAATTGTCTTTGATGAGCTGTGACGTAGGCCATATGCGTAATCAAAATGTGTGTGAAAAGCGGGAAGTGCTGTGAACAATACCATTTTACACATAACAGAGATTTCAAGT